GGGCCAGTGGGGGTTTTTAGTCAGCGGCCGCAGGCGAGCGCGCCAGCGGTGAACCCAGTCAAAGCGGGGCACGCAACGACAAAATATCCTAAAGCAGCGGGGCGCAGCCTCACCTAAAGCGGCTCGGCGGAGCCTCGCGCAGCACTTCAGCGGCGGACCGGCGAGTGGGAGTAACGAAACGCACTTCCAGTAGGAAGACTTGAACGCGCGTTTTGGCTAGAGTTTCATTTTTTCCCCAGCAACAAAAAAAACATTGCGAAAATCCATTTTCCACGTCAAATCCATTGTGCAAGTTGACAGCGGCGACAACGGAGTAGTACTGCCAGCGCGCAGGCATGCAAGGCGCCGACTGGCGGGGATATTTTTTTTCGGTCGCGTCCGCTAGCGAAGGCGCTAGCGGAGTCAGGAGCGCTACGGGTCACGACAGCGGCCCAATTCGCAGCAAAACGCGCCGCGGGCCGGCCGGCCCACTCATTCAGCAGCGGCTGACTGCGCACTGGTGGGGATACTTTTTGTCGGTCGCGTCCGCTACCGAAGGCGCTAGCGGAGTCAGAAGCGCTACGGGTCACGACAGGTCACTGGTGGGGATACTTTTTTGTTCGGCGGCCCGCAAGGAAAGGTCCAGAGCGCGTGTCCAAAGGCAATGGGACTGGTGGGGATACGCGAAGCGTGAAGGATACCGTCATCTCGCGCGACCAAAGAAGCCTCTCGCGCGCGCATGTCGAAACCATTCGAACGCCGGTGCGCGCGTGCTGGAGGGACACGGTCCCTGTCAAATCTTCGAGCGATCCACCCAAACCAAAATCAAACAACGTCGCAGTTCGGAAAGAAGCCGTGCCTTTTTGATCCTTTCCCTGCCACGGGGGGGGGGGGTCCCTGGGGGGTCCCAAGGGGTGACCCCATGGAGATTCTCAGAGAAGGAGAGGTCCTGTGGGAGGTTCCGGGGGGGGGGGGCCAGGAAAGGGCCCGGGGGGTCCCAGGGTCGTGACCCCACTCCTGGGGCCTGGGGAAGTTCCCCCTGTGAGGAAAGGGGACACGGCAGGGTTTCCGTGCGGGCATGGGGGCTCAGGACCAGGAGGGGGGACGTCTCGGGGGGGCGGGCATAAGAAGGGTCCTGGGGGGGCTTTGGCGAGGAATCTGGGATGAGGTCCGAAGGGAGCCAGGGGTCGTGACCTCCATTCCGGAAGGTCCCCCTTGTAGACAAGGGAGACAAGGGGATCCCTGTGCGGACATGGGGAGTTCAGGACCCTTCTCCCCGCCTCCCCCCTGTGGACAAGGCCCCTTCTAGGTCGGCGGCACATGTCACAAGGCCTTCCAGATAATACCATGCGGGTCATTTGCGAACGTCGGCCGCGCGCGCATGTCGAGATCCTCCCAAAACCTTCCATTCATCACCGGCATGTTGACACCATCATACTCATCGGCGTGATCGATGCTGGCGCCGTCATTGGCCTTGCAATGGTCATTAGCACACTCGTCAGCAGCATCGATGCGATTTTCATCGTGTCTGCCGTTGTCGACATCGCCATGAGAACGCGCCCGCCGATCCCACCGACTCGCCGTGAAACGCCCGCGCGTCAGCGCGGCCTGCGAGACGGGCTAAGTTGTGTGCCCAGCGGTTAGCGCCACCGCGGCCGCGTCGGTCGCACCACACTAGCTGGCCGCTTTGAGCGCGAGCCTGTGCGCGCTACCGCGGCCGCAACGATGTGCCAACCAGCGCCAAGCAGTAATCGCAATCGCCGCCGCATGAATTAGCAAACCAAGTTGCAGGTCGGTGGGTGGGAAGATTGCGCGAGCATTGGAGTTGACAACTTCAAGTTCAGCAAGGCGAATATTACCAAATAGACTGCACCACATCGATTGCACCACGTCGATTGCATCACATGGATTGCGCAAGACAAAAAAATGCACCACATAATTGGCAACAGACCTAGTGCACAACATAGACTGCACAACCTATACTGCACCAAATCGATTGCACCACATGGGCTGCACCACATAAGTTGTGTCACCGGTATTGAACAACATGGATAACACATGATAGGTTGTACAAATTATATTGCACCACAGATACTGCACCACGTAAATTGCCCTCCTTAGAACGCACAACCTATGCTGCTAGAAATACACTGCTGGTCCACGCTGGCTAACACGTGTTCATTGCTGCCACCTGGGATACACAGGCTGCTGACGCATGGTCATTATTATCGATCTGGCTGTGCGCATGCCAAGAAGAGATCCGATGGGAAAGATTATCGCTTCGCGGGGATTGACGCCAACTCAGCTGACCGATCTAAGCGGTGCGAATGGTGCCAGGGCCGGGGAGGCTAGGAAATGCATGATCCAAGATTCAATCCGAATGGGACGCGTCGGCCACCTGTCAGTTTCGGTATTTGATATTGCTGCACCTTTGGGCAGTCGTGGAGGCGCTGTCCGTCAGAGCATCGCCCTCGGAGTTTGGTGATCGCAGGGGCCTCCCCCCAAGCTTCAAGCATTGGATGATACAGAGGCTTCGAGCTTAAACTGGGCCGATATTCGATAACAGCGACCCCTGCAGCACTTAGCACCGAGTAGGTGCAGCCTTGGGCCTCCGGGGTGCTCGACCGCGGCCGGGACGTCGAAAGAATGAGGCGGGCAGTGTTCGGTTTCCACGCGCCGCTCCGGAGAGCCGATCCACCCCCTCGTCCTACTCATCCCTCCCTGCGCCGCCGCTGTAGCCGATCTGAAACCCGAGGCCGCAAGATGTTCGCGTTGCCCGCATTGCGGCAGCATCATCATCGTCATCATCATCATCAGCAGCATCATCATCACCATCATCATCATCATCATCATCATCATCATCATCAGCATCAGCATCATCATCACCAGCACCAGCATCATCATCACCATCATCAGCATAATCGTCAACATCAGCAACATCATCATAATCACCATCGTCGTTGTCGTCGTCGTCGTGTTCGTCATCGTGGTCATCGTCGCCGACGACGGCGGCATCATCGTGAGCATCACTATCACCATCACCACCTTTATCAGTATCACCTATAGCATCACCATCACCATCACAATCACCATCACAATCATCATCAACATCATTATCAACATGAATATGGTCATCCGCATCAGCAGCATCACCATCAGCATGATCATGATGAATATCATCATTATTATCAGCATCGCCGTCGTCGTCGTCATCGCCGTAATCATCATCACAATCAACAGCAACAACAACAGCACCATCATCGTCGTCGTCGCCGTCATCATCCTCATCATCGTCGACGGCATCATCATCCTTCAGCATCACCATCGTCATCGTCATCATCATCCTGATCCTCATCGTCATCGTCATTGCCTTCGCAATCAGCATCATCATCATCATCATCATCATCATCATCATCATCGTCCGCATCGCCTTCGTCATCGTCATCCTTTCTGTCGTCCTTGCTGACGACCTTGTCAGTCTGGCCCTAAAGGGTGGATATTGCGTCTCAGTCGTGAAGTCAACGGCCCACTTCAACACACGCAACTCGGACAGAGACGAAGTGGCAGCCAACCTCATGGCTGATAGGGGTCCGAAGGCCTCCAGAGCCCCTCCCCTCCTCCTCTTCTCCTCCTCCTCCTCCTCCTTCCCCCCCCTTCTCCTCATCCTCATCGTCCTCCTCCTCCCTCCTCCCCTTCCTCATCCTCCGCCCCCTCCTCCTCCTCCTCCTCCCTCCTCCTCCTCTTCCGCCTCCTCCTTTTACGTAAGGCCGACCTAAGGTTGCCCTGCGGCGTTCATGAAGTGCGGAAACAAAACGATATAGTACGACTCGGGTCAAGGCGCACCTGGCGGGCGCCGCGGACAATCAGATAAGTAAAGCGAAGGCCAAGAGAAACTCCTATTCTTTTTTACCAAAGCAAGTAGGCGCCCGCCAGGTCCTCGAGGTTGGCACCAGCCTTAGTAACCAAGAGCACCCCATCAATAAATACGACTACCCCCCAAGCTTTGCCTAGGTAGTGTCACCTCGGAAGGCAAGTAACAGCAAATAGAAAACACAAAGGTTGACGGAGTGTTGGCAACAATCTCGGCAACTGTGCTTTCGCAAAGTGCCCCCGTTGGGTATGTAGCCAACATCCCACCCTCCACATCTACCCGTTAACCTCCATCAATAATTTGAAAGGGTGGCTCAAACATGCTGGCTGGCCTTGTGGCTTGGGGCCGTGTATGACGGGAAGTAGCAGCAAACATGTTGCGTTGTACGGCCAAAGTGCCGACTGGCAGCAAATAAAGGGAGTATGCACATCCCATCACCCCCTAAGAGTACTTCTGTGAGTGCGCGTGGCAAGGAGAGGAGGGGATGTGGTCGGTGAAAGAGGGGAGTGAGTTGCGTGAGCTGCCGATGGGCAGCATCTAGTTAGAAAGAAAAAAACAAAGTGTGGCAGTTCTTGGGATGCAGCCCAGGGTGTTTCGGGCTTACCCCGAACCAGCCCTGTACCAGACCATCGTGCTTTGTATACTGTGAATCTCGGGTTACGCACGAACCCATGTTAGCCAGTCTGAGAGCACGAGCTACGGTCTGTTGCAAGGCTGGCCTGTTCAGGCTGGCCTGTTGGTATTACAGCGTGCCCTATGAGTGGCCAGGCTGTTCAGGAGTACACTAAACCTGTACAACGACCTCAGGAAAGACAGTGTGGCCGATGGAAGAAATATGCCTTGTTCTGTTGCGGCCACTCGGTGTTCTTGAAAAAGGAGGCTTTAAAGGTTCACCCCTAACCTGCAGAGAGCAGCGTGCAACCTCTGGGCTGCGACCCAGGGTTTTGCAGGATAACCCCGAACCTCCTCCACGGTCCCCGCCAAACCCCACCAGCCCCAGCTGTACACCTCCCCCCTCCCAAGAATTAAAGATAGGTGGTGCTGCTGCTTTGCTCCTTCCTCCGCCTCCTCTTCCTCCTCTTCCTCCTCCGCCTCCGCCTCCGCCTCCTCCTCGTCCTCCTCCTCCTCTTCCTGCTCCTCTAAGCCATTGGCCTGGCGTCACAGGCGGCGGCGGATATGCCGCGCGACCAGCCTTCCATCACCCGGTCACGGCTGGCCCGGGCTCTCAGAAGGCCACAGGGGACTGGCAGAAAGAAAGACAACAGAGGACGCAAAACTCGCACAAGACAATCATCAGCATCGGCGGCAACGATCAACAGGAAGGCTGGAAACAAAAAGTATGTCAGCAAGCGTCACGCAGCCACGTCTCCATAGGGGAGGTAGTCACCGAACAAACTTATGCCCAAACATCTGCTCGACTGTGACCGAATACGGCGCGCTCACTTTTCCAAAGGTGCCGGACTGTGACCGACATTCATTTCGGTCACACTATGTCTTCGATAACAAGTTCGGAAACGTGTTCGGCCGCATACCATTCCGGCTGACAGGGGCTAGACGCCATGACAAGCGTGGACCACAACTTTGAATGAGCAAACGGAAGCACAAGGGTGGCCGTACGTAGTAAAATGCGTCACGGCTTGTTGCGGGAAGGGATGGGAGAGAGGGGGGGTATGCCCTTACACAAACTCTGCGTAACCAGGAAATTGAAGGCGTTCGCCAACGAAAACCACATGACGACAAAGAACTCGACCCGCGGGCAACCAGAAACGCAGCAACCGTATGATTGTGGTAGTAGTCGTCGTACTGGTAGTAGTGGTCGTCGTCGGGGTAACAGCAGTAGTTAAAGTAGTAGTTGTGGTGGTAGTAAAAGTAAGGAAGTACTAGGAAAACTATTACTCTGTTTGCCCGAAATATGTCGTGTGAAGGGAGATGGGAGGGTGCTGGTGATTCTGCGCGCGGCCGAACACAAACCGAATAGGCAACGTAAACGAAACGTATGTCAATCGTAACCAACTGTACATCAAACGTATACTAATAAACTATCAAGCGCGCACGGAACATAGATCAAACGCACACGGAATTCACACGATTTGCACACGGAACCTGTACACATCATATACGTGTCATGGATTCAAGTACAGACGAAGCATAGACAACGCAACCGCGACAGACATTACACGTGCACGAAACGTATACGCAACGTATATAACAGTGCACAAGAAGCGTGTAGAAAGCGTATAAGCAAACGTGCGTTTAAAGTATACGAAACGCAGCGGAGGCGCATACGAACAATACATGGGGGGAAAAAAAAAAACGCGTTAAACGAAACGTAAATCAAACGTCCACGAAACGTGCACCATATGGACGTGCAACGTATCGACAGCTGTTGATGGAACGCGTCTGAAGCGTATGGAACATGAAGGGCACGCTATCAGACGCACGTAGCGGGTATATTAAGCATGCATGAACACTGTGTAAAAAAAACATGTAGCGCACACGACATGAAGATGAAATGGGTATGAACTCTTACGGAAAGCTTATGCCACGAAGGTGAAGCGTATATGACACGTGTATGACACGTATGACACATGAGGGGACGTATGTGACACGCCCATCAAAACAAACCAACTACGCTTAGTAAAAATCAGTGAACTTCACAGGCAGCGTATATGGCATGAAAAAAGGCACTCACATGAGTCAGATACTGAACGTGTACGACAACAAATGAGACCAGAACGACGCGTACATGAAATGCCCATGCAATTTAAATGGCATGTTAAATAAAACCTGTACACACCGCGTGCGAAACGCTTAAGAAACGCACATGGAACCGACTTAGAAGGTACAGGGAACGCGTATGGAACTGCGTAAGGGACGTACATAAAACTGAGATCAAACGGCAAAAGGAGCCGTGCACATAACCTATACACAACGTATACAACCCATACCCAATACGTAAACACCACGTATACGACCCGTGTATGCAACGTGTACGAAACGCAGAAGAAACGACCCACCACATACAACACACGATAAACCCGCATTGGCACCGAATACGCAACGCACGCGGACGCGGTTCCACGCTGGCGAACATACAACCTACGCGGTGCAACCTATCAATCTAAACTACCTTGCAGTGAGCTTGACCACCCCCACTGATCGCGCAAACCGCTCACCCACCCACACGCAACCTGGCTTGAAAAACCCGTGCGGCGGGTATTGCGATGAGTGCTTGGCGTTGGCTGGTGCATCTGTGCGGCCGCGCCAGCCCGCGCAGGCGCACGCGCAGCAGCCAGCTAGCTTGGCGCGACCGACGCGGCCGCGGTGGCGCTGACCGCTGGAACATCCCCGCGGGCACTTCAGTGCGAGTCGGCGACATGGGCGGGCGCGGTATTATGGCAACGTCGACAACGGCAAACACGATGATGATAGTAGCGATGTTGGTGAGGATGCTGACCGCGCCAACCCAAGCACGCGCGCGCATCGGCCAGCTAGCTTGGCGCGACCGACGCGGCCGCGGTGTCGCTGGTCGCTGGGCACATCACCGCGGGCACTTCACTGCGAATCTGCGACTTGGGCGGGCGCGGTGTCACGGCAACGCCGACAACGGTAAAAACGATGATGCTAGCACCGATGCTGGTGACGATGCTAAAACGACGACGACGCGCCCAGCGCGGGCGCCGATGCTGATCACGCCGACGACGAGAACGACGTCCTCGCGTCAGTGATGGACGTTTTGGGAAGAACTCGACATGCGCGCGCGCCCGACACGCGGGAACGGCCCGCATAGTAATATGTGTAACGGATTGCACGCGCGCGAAGGGCGTGCGAATGAGTTCAGCATGCGGCGACAGAGGCCCGCTTGGCAGAAGTCGATGGAGATGTTGACAAAACTATGGTTTCTGAAAATTCGCAAGAGCGCGAACGCACGCTTTTTTATTACAGAAAAATGGTGTTGCGAAGCCACGTGTGTTCTATACGTCTGGTTAACATTCGGTTTTAAAACCGCTGCGAAATCTATGGTGGTTGACGGATTCTGGCATGCGCGCGCGACCACGCGCGCGCGCGTGCAATGTTTGTTCTAAAGGATGTGCACAAACTTTGTGGTTGAAAGCCGTGTTGCAAAACTCTGTGTTGTCACATGTGTTTTGAACACTCGGTTTTGAAATCCTTACGAAACCAAAAGCCTTTGAAGGATTCTGGCATGCGCGCGCGACAACGCGCGCGTGTACACTTCGTCCCGCTTTTGCAAGAGATTCTTGACATGAGTACTGGTGATTTCTGATAAACGGATGTGCGCGCATAGCTTCTGTTGCAAAAGATGGCGGGGGGGGGATACTGGCTCGGCGCGGCACCACCCGCAAAAGCCGCAACTCGCCCCGAGACGGCGAAGGCGGCGACGGGCGGCACGGACGGCGACGGCCGCCCCTGGTCCCGAGACGAGCAACGGCGACGGACGGCGACGGGCGGCACCGCCCGCAAAAACCGCCCCTGGTCCCGAGATGGTTAAGCCAAGGAAGAATCCCCGAGTGCAAGCACCGATTGGGAATATGCAAAAACGGTGCTATGCTGCACACGGTTGCTGTGGTGCACACAGGCGCAATGGTTTACACAGGCGCTGTGGTGCACGCAGGCACCGTGGTGTACACTGGTGCTGTGTTGCACACGGCTGCTGTGTTGTACACAGGCGATGTGGTGTACACAAGCGACGCGGTGCACGCAGGCTCTGTGGCACACACTGGCGCTGTGTTGCACGCGGCTGCGGTGGTGCACATAGGCGGCGTGGTGTACACAGGCGCTGTAGTGCACGTAGGCACTGTGGTGTACACAGGCGCTGTTGTGCTGATCGCCACCTACACGCTGCTGCTACCCGTCCTCGGTCATTCCTAGGCATTCCCAGACGGCGCCAGCGCGAAACGTGAAGTCATCGGTCCCCTCCCCCCCCCAGATGACGGCCGTCATCGGCCCCAAATAGAAAACAGGCTCCAGCCTTGCAGTCCCCACGCCATCGAAGAGGGAGACTAGGACCAGTGGCTGAGCATTCGCCGTAATAAGCCTCGTCGGATTCATTCTTGCTGCGCCTACGGAGACTACTGTAGGACGCCCGTCACATGCCGGATGTCTGTGCTCACTGGACGTAATGCGAACCGACCCAGTGACGTCTCTGGCGTAGGCGGGGGTTGCACGCGCTCCACTATACCGTCACTGACCAGGGCTTCCAGGGTCCCGTGCATGGCATCGTGACTCCAGCCTCCCAGCCCCCATGTGGGAGTCTAGGAGCGGGTCTGGCGGAATTATGGGGGAGACCTCATCCCCTTGGCTGCGCCGACTCCAGACCACCATGAGCACGTCCCTGGGGTCGGGCGGGGAGGAGAAGACTCCGTCCAGGTCCCTGTCCCGCGGATCGTAGCTTCTCTGCTGGGCTGTCCTGCCTGGGCAGGGCGCTGCTGAAGGCGGCGCGGACCCTCCTCGACCGCTTCAACGCTCCCGGAGGCTCCATGCGAGACATGACCCGCTACTGGGCCGTTGAATTAGACAGCCAAGCCAGGGGGCCATTCGGCTCGCAGAACGTGAACCTGGCTCTAGACCTTGCCTGTTCCTGGTTGCGCCAGACAGGGAGGAGACTTGGTTTCCTGGAAGCAATACTACCGTCCATTCCCCTGGATGTTATCCCACCGTGCCTCCTTGGATAACTATGTGCTGGACATTCTGGACGGGTACCCCGACAGCCCCAGCATGTCTGCATGGGCACCGCCGTTTACGTTCCAATCTCGGCCACGCACCAAGCGAGCCCGGCCAGCTGACCGCTGTGGACGCCCCCAGCCTGCGGGTGGGACTCCACCCGCGCACACGGAAGCGGATCTGGGCGAGACAGAGGCGGCATTCCCCCTCGCGGCCGATCCACCGGCGCGCGCGGCGTCGCCTCCCTGGTGGAGGGGAGCCAAGCCACCGCGCTGACTTAGAAACACGGCAGACTGCCGGGGTGAGAAGCGCGCTCAGCACCCGAGGGCACACCAACCGAAACTCCAGGCAGCGCTCCCGCACGGCAGACCCGACCGGGCGCGGAGGGCGACGGGCAGGGCAACGCATTGCCCCTCACAGAGCCAGCAGCACAACCTGGATCGCGGGTTGCCAGGCCGTCAGCGTGAAGGACATGGACTGATCCGATGTGTCGGACGAGCTACTGGAGCCGCCGGACCTCCAGGACGCTACTACCCAGGGCGGTGGGGGCGGCGACCCCGCAGGAAGAGGGGCAGGGCGCAGGGCGGCCTCCCTCGACCAGAGGGGCGCTGGCGGCCCAAATGCGGGCGGGGCAGACCACCAACCAGGAGGCCCACGCCCCTCCATCGACCGTACGCGCAGGCCGCTCACCTGCTGCCTTAACTCGTGAAAGGTGGCAGCCCAAAGCATGGTGCCGAGGACTTCCTGCCACTCGCGCGCCCTGATGCGCTAGGGGGGCACGCTCCAGGACTGCCCATCCGTGCCGCCTGGCCAGGTCGCTCGTCCGATTCAGGATGTCCCCAGCCCTCCCCAGGAGTCGTGCCGCCAGGATTTCGTTGGCGTGTGTCAGCCTGTCACTGGGTGCAGCCCTGACTCCACGTAGGAGGGGGTCCTTGAGGTCACCGCCCTCCGGCATGGTGTCGATCGTCCATGGCGGGGGGAAGGAGCACCTGCCTCCCTCGCGTATCTAGGTGAATAGGAGCATGCGGCCAGGGCTCGCCTGCAGGACCGTCCTGGTGAGCACGGGGAGGGGCGATGCATGCAGCCGCTGCGTCAACCCAAGCATGCCAGGTGGGCCCAGGTCTGCTGGTCCCATCGCTCCGCGGGACCAGCCCGCTCACCAGCGGCGCCAGCGGCTCCGTCACCCCGATGGGCCCTAGTTGCAGAAGTCGGGCAATTAGTTCGCGCGCGTCCATGACGTCCTCTGCAGGATGCTGCAGGATGAATCGCGCCAGCGGTTGTCCGCGATCTGCCGGGCTCTGGCGAAGGCAGCCCGCAGGAGTGCTCCTCCTGCACTGGCTGCTCCTGCGGCGCCCGTCGCCGGTCTGCTTCTGCGCAATGCGGCGCCTGGGTTGCTGGGGGGTTCGGCGACCGGAGCGGCCTCTGCGTGCGCCACGCTCGGTCCGCCTGGTGGTGCGCCATCCCGCGCGCCCAGGCTTGCGGGGGGCGCCGCTTCGCTCCCTCCACCGGAGCCAGCAAGGCGGCCTGGGCCGTCGTCTGCTCCGTTTCCGGGTGCCCGGACTGCCCTTGAGCTGCTTCCCAAGCCGACGTCTTGTCCATCCTCGCATCGTGGCCCTCCTGCGGGTTTGGCGGATTTTGCGTTGCTTGCTGCGTGTTGCGGGGGCTCACTCTGTCCTGGGATCCGCCGTCGGAGGTGCTCCAGGGCCTGGTTCAGCCCCGGCGCACTCGGCATCATTCCTCCTCCGCCTCCCCCTGAGCCCGCGCGCTGGTCTGGGCATTCGGTCGTGTGTTCTGGCTTTGCTGCGCGCCTGCCTGATCCCGGCAATGCCAGCGCTGAGCGTTTCGTCCAGACCGTCGGCAGGTCTGTGCGTCGTCCGCGCCTCATCGTCTGCGCCTCTTGCACCTGGGATCTGTAGGAAAGGGCTGTGCGCTGTGTAGTCGGGGTCGGGGGAGAGGCGGGCCCATTGTGCAAATGGGTTGCGTCTTTGCGCACGGTGCCCACAAGTCGCCCACGGGGGGCCTCCGCACACAGTGCCCACAAGTCGCTCACAAATCGCCCACGGGGGGCCAGCCGTCGCCCACGGGGGGCCAGACGCCAAAAACCCGGCGGCGCCGTCCTCTTATTATAATCATGAAAATCAAGTGAGGGCCCTCAGAGGAAGCTTGTGGAACCATGTAGAGGAAGGATCTACTTATCCAAAAATTCTTATCCGACGATTGCCCCAGCCAACCCACTGGCCAACCCGCTGGCCAACCCTGGATCACCCTCCCGACCAAGCCCTCTAGCGATCCCTGGTTATGGTAGTCAATATAGCCATGGAAGATAATAGATGCACTACGGAAGAGGGTAGCCGGCCGTGTCGTGTCCCGTGCGGGCGGAGCGCAGCGTGCTCGGACGCACACTCGCGCGCGTTGTACGCCCGCGTGCGCATGTTGGTGCGTTTAAAGATGAGCGGAGGAAAAGGAGATACCGGGGGACGAGAGGTTGGCAGCGACACTGTTACTGGCTCCCGCCTCCACCAGAAGAAGCCGACCCCATGTCTCGTCGGTGGTGATTCTGACGCCTCGAGTGGCCTGAAGATTGCCACGAACATCGCCACGGGAAAGCATCTTGTATATGTGAAGGTGTCCGCCAACACTCGTGATGGTGCGAATTTCTAGTTCTCTGAAGATGCGCGCGCGGGTGTGCAATCGGGCGGGTGCGCGCGACCGCCTGCCAGGATGGGCGCGCCTGCACGTACGCGTTATGGTCGGGTTGCAGCAACAGATACCAATTCTGAGCTCGTCGGCCCCAGTCTAAGTTCGAGCGCAATTTTCAATTTCCAGTCTCCAATGTTATAGTTCTCCTTCCTGCCTCCTACTGCAAAATATGACTGAACGGCCTCTCGGAGTTCTCGGAATTGCCCGTGGGGGAGCCCTGGGACCAGTAAAAAAAACTTAAGATTCGCGCTCCCAGGCCAGATCCCTTGAAAATTACAACAGGGTCGCGCTCCCAATCCTTAGCAAATTCTGCAGATTCGCGCCCCCCGCGGTCAGATTCCATCGCAAATTACAATCGGTTCGCGCTCCCGAGGTCACGATCCCCGGCTGAAAATGTCGCCAGACTCGCGTTTTGTGAAGGGAAGAAAAAGCCCACAAACAACTCCAACATCTCAAGATTCTTGCTGAATGCCAATCGCCCTCGCATGATGTTCCCAGAAGTTTTCAAAACAGCGCCGACACGTCGCAGCAAAGCTCTGACATCTCCCATTGTGATAGAGAGGTGGCCGGCGGCAGAGGGCGAAGCCCTTACGGGTTCAAGGAGGAGATGCTTAGCTCTTCATCCCTCTCCTCTGCCTCCTCCTTTTCCAGCTTATGCTACTTGTCCTATTCCAGCCTCCTCGACCTCCGTCGCAACCGACTTGGAAGATCTGACGCTCACTTGTGGCGGGGGGCTCCTCAATCCCGTGAGCCGCCAGCCAGCAATCAAGTGACGGTCGCGTCAAAGCATGCTTGCGGCTCAGGGGAATCTGGAGGCTTATGGAACGACATAGGGCATGGTCACACGCATCAAGGGTATGTGTTCCGCATAGCGTCGGGCTTTCATCAGAGCGGTGCCTGCAACAACTGCTCCGCAAATGTTTATGGGCCATGCCAAGAAAATGTCCGATTACGAAACGCAGAGTAAGAGATATGAGATGAAATCCTGGATCGCTGAGAACAAGTGGCACGCATGGGACGGCATGTCTATCATCCCTGCTACAACCCTTCCCCTCCTCTGGGCCTACAGGCGGAGGTGGAGGTGCACCTCTGGTTGCTGATGACCCTGCGAACTTGGTTGGTGGTGGCACGAGTGCCGTGGCATCTTGAAGAACATTTTTCTGCGAAATCGAAACGCAAACAGAGAAGCTCCCACGATCCAGAGCCATGATGACACTACCCCTCTGAGAGGGAGAAAGGAGACAGGAAAGCGACTTGGAGCTTTCAAACAGAACAAGCATTCCGACGGCCCAATATCATATATCAAAGACGCCTGCTTGACAGCCAAGTGGTGCCTCAGCAAGTCGTTCCAAACATGATGACTATTGCAGTACCACTTCTGTTCCTACATCAACGCTTTTATGTGTAGATGTGCTACCACTGTGAGCACATGCAAAAGGCTGAGCTGCTACCGCTCGTACGGATCATGATGTGAGCTGCGTGCCCTTTAGTTACTGCGTGTTCAGACTGTGGCGTCACTTATGGTAATCCAGCCCACAAGGGTCACGTGCCAAACGCATGTTCACTTAAAGCAAACGCGGGGGGCGCAGCGAATTAGGAACACAAGTGGCAAGCGCATCGAAGCAACACAACAAGTCTGGCGAAGGACCCAACCATATGCAGTTGTGAGTAACGCAGCTGTGAGCATCGTCTTCGGTGGAGTTCCCTATGGGGCCTCGAAGCGTGTGAGGGGTGTGCCGAAATGCGTGCGGGACCGCATGCGGGCACTGCCACTGGGGCATTCGGTGGAGCTCCCTAAGGGGCCACGATACGTGTGAGGGGTGTGCCGACATGGGCGGGGGGGGGGGGCGCATGCGGCCGCGGCCACTGGCGCCTTCGGTGGAGCTCCCTATGGGGCCACGGAGCGCTGTGTTGGGAGGGGGAGACGCATGCGGGCTGCGCCACTGTGACCTTCGGTGGAGCTCCCTAGGCAACGAAACGCACGAGGGGGTTGTCGACATGGGTGGCGTGGACGCATGTGGGCTGCGCCTCTGGGACCTCCAATGGAGCTCACTATGGGGCCACGAACCGTGTGAGGGGTGTGCCGGCATGGGTGGCGGGGGCGGGGACGCATGCGGGCGGCGCCACTGAGGCCTTCGGTGGAGCTCCCCATGGGGCCACGAAACGCGTGAGGGGTGTGCCGAGACAGTGCCATGCGCATGGCGGAGGCAGGATTGGGAGGAGGGAGGAGGGGGGAGGAGAAAGGAGGAAGAACGCGTGGCGCTCTCTCTTCAAAAAGAAAACCCAACTCCACAGGATGGCTGGGAAAAGCCCAAGCTATCGCACCAAGTGTGCGTATACAGACAAGACCAAAGGTGCAAAGCGGAATGAATGCCTGCAGTACGATTGTGGTAACTGGGCGGATGCAAGTGAGAGGTAATTCAAATCCCAAGAAGATCGCATAGGCGATCACGTGTCATTTGAGGGAGTTTCTGTGGAACTCACGTCATCCTCACCCCCGGCGCGAAGAGCACGAGCCCAGAGCGGCCTCCGGCACCGTTTCCGGACAGATCCGGTGGATCCGGTGACGAATCCCAAACCGGCGCCCTCGCTTGAGACATCCTCACAAAACCGGCCAGCGGGAGGTGACCGAGCGGGCCGAGACCCTCCCCCCCCGTTTCCGCCGCTGGATCCGCTGATTCCGGTGACGAATCCCAACGGCGCCCTCGCTTGAGACAATCTCACAAAAACGGCCCCGGGGATGGCCGGCCCCGGGGATGGTGCCCAGAGGAGCCCAGAGCGGCCTCCGGCACCGTTTCGGACAGATCCGGTGGATCCGGTGACACGAATCCCAAACCGGGCGCCTCGCTTGAGACATCCCAAGGAAACGGCCCGGGGGAGGTGCAAGAGGAGCCAGAGCGGCCTCCGGCACCGTTTCCGGACAGATCCGGTGGATCCGGTGACGAATCCCAAACCGGCGCCCTCGCTTGAGACATCCTCACAAAAACGGCCCCGGGGGAGGTGCCCAGAGGAGCCCAGAGCGGCCTCCGGCACCGTTTCCGGACAGATCCGGTGGATCCGGTGGATCCGGTGGATCCGCCGACGAATCCCGAACCGGCGCCCTCGCTTGAGACATCCTCACAAAACCGGCCCCGGGGGAGGTGCCCAGAGGAGCCAGAGCGGCCTCCGGCACCGTTTCCGGACAGATCCGGTGGATCCGGTGACGAATCCCAAACCGGCGCCCTCGCTTGAGACATCCTCACAAAACCGGCCCCGGGGGAGGTGCCCAGAGGGGCCCAGAGCGGCCTCCGGCACGTTTCCGGACCAGATCCGGTGGATCCGGTGACGAATCCCAAACCCGGCGCCCTGCTTGAGACATCTCACAAAAACGGCCCGGGGGAGGTTGCCAGAAGGAGCCCAGGCGGCCTCAGGCACCGTTTTCTCCGGACAGTAATCCGGGGATCCGCCGACACGAATTCCAAACCGGCGCCCTCGATTCCTTGAGTACTCCAAGGTCGATCTATAGTGCGGGGGTCGAACTATAAGAGGGGTTATTCACTTTTCTGCGGGCGTATTATATAGTTCGGGCGCGGGCGGGGCGCGCCGAAAATAGTTCGACCCGCCGTTTTGGGGCAAACGGGGCTTCAGCGCCCATGCTCGCGCTCGCCCCACTGGGAGGGGTCCAACATATATTTGAGCCGACAGCAATGAATGACAACGATACACACAGAAGCGTTCTTTTCAAAGCATGCGCACAATCGGCTGGCCGCAGAACTTAGAGATGCATGCCACCGAAAACGCTCTCATGGACCTCCTTTGGCCCCTCCTTCGGCCAAATGCAGATACAGATCCACCGAAATCCTCATCCCTATAGTTCCAGTGCTTCGCTGGTTCACCGCCGCCCATGCACAGCTCCAGAAACATGTGCATTTTAGGCTTCACTTTAAAATGGGCAGGAAGCGCGTCTTGCAAAGCGGCCGTCTGCGTGCAAACTTACTCGAATGCTCTCTAAGAATGTCCACAGCAAATGGGCGATTGTCAGAGAGTGCCTCGTAACACCGACATAAGCTTTTCATCCCTGCGTGAATGGACGATTCTACAGCTGCCCGCTCGTCGACGCCATTCCTCCTATCAAGGAAAGCCTCCGCCATCTCCAATGCCCATGGAACCATGTGCCTGAGCATCCCCGCGCCGCACCTCATCTAGCCGTCGTTGCTTTTTTTCCTTTCACAACGCCCCGCGTCAGTCTCGATAGGCGGCTGGTCTTCTCACCTGGCGGCTGCCTGTCGTAGAACGCCATCAAATGACCATGTAGTGTGGAGACGCGGCCTTTCTGGGTAGTTCCAGCCACCTTTTTGTGCGTTACAAGATACCATAGCAAACCCCCTATGAAGTCAGCCGCTACTCCAAGATCAACAACGTGTAACCAATCTAGCTTCAGCAACTTCTCGTTCGCATACGGCACTTGGAAGAGAGGGCACACCTGCTCGCCTGAAACGATAATCTTCGCAAGGACTTCTGGCCATGTGCGTCGGTGCGTTCTCCACGGCGCGTCTCTCCCAGTCTGCGATTTCACCTGCGGGGAGTAGCCAAAAACACTCCTCCTCCTCCTCCTCCTCCTCCACCCCTCCTCCCCCTCCTCCTCCACCCCCCCTGAAGGGGCCGCAAAACGACGACGACGCACCCCCTCCCAGAGGGGATTTCCTTCCTCCCCTGATGTGTTGCGCTCCCATGGCCTCGTCCTTCTTGATGTTGCACAGGAAGCATACTTCGTCATCTTGCCAGCCAGGTAGCTTGAGCACCTCCTTCATCATCTTCCAGTCCCCTTTGATCTGGCAAAGCACTCCGCCAATTGGTAGGGTTGCATCGGCCACTTGTCGGCGCTTCCTCCAGGCGTCCTGCGCGCCGAAGGGAGAGCCGTCGTGCCGTGCCGCCGGCCAGCGCTTCGCAGCCAAGTGAACAAAGCTCCACTGCACCACTGCAAAAACATCATCAAATGTGTTGGGGCCCACGTGCTCTTTGAGGAACGCTGTGATTGGGACCCGCAGGTTTTTCCAGCGCCCCGCAGCCCCTGGCAACATGAGGCTGATGATCTCTGCGCTCATCGATCGGTCCCAAAAGCAAGGGACCCCGTCCTGCCACACGCCCAGGGCCACCAGGTCGTTGCAACCACTCTCCGCCCTGGCTCTTTGCACGTGGCGCAGAGACACGCCGTCGAGACTCGACGTCTCCAGTAGCACGCTCCGCTCGCCAAAATGATGAAGTTGATGAAGTATTTCGTGAGGAAGCATCATCGCTAAGTCCATCAGTTGTTCTGTTTCAGACTTGGGGCCCCAGCCCCTCACCTGGCAGTGATAGAGCGGAGGCCACCCTTTCCTGAAGAAATCCCGCCTGAACTTCCTGGCAGCGTTTTTCATGCCCGACGTTGACTCCGTAGTGTGCAGGTCGGAGAGACCTGTCGCAGATGCAGAGACGCAGTCATTGATCAGCTGAGCGCCGCGCTGCCCGCTGACCACGTTGCTGCTTATCAGGTCCTGCACGTTCGCTCTCAGCCGCCTCTCCGGCGGCAAGCCCAACCTGTCATAAGGCAACCGCCGCCTGGAAAGCACCCCGCGGGGCCCGCGGGAGACAGGCGCGAGCGCGGCGGCCTTGAGCCACTGCAGTGGCTACGGACATGCGCGGCTGAGGCAAGGGGCCCTTGCCCTTTCCCGCGCCCCTCCTCCGCGCCCTCCTTCAATCCCTTTCATGCCCCTCCCCTCCTGCTACTCCCCTCCTGATGATACCAAGCCCCCCTCCCCCCCGCCCCCCCCTCCCCCCACGCCCCTGCGATGAGGGGGGCTTCTTCACTGGCAAACCCAGAAACACGCGGCCCCTCACGAAGGGGCACCCCTGGCAGAGGAAGCGGCAAGTTCTCGTTTTCCCACGGGCGTCGGAAAGGCAGCGCTGCATGCGCGTCGTCGGGCGAGGCAGAGCATCTCAAACCCTACTGCATATATGCATGTAAATACTGATATGTAGATGTAGGGCCGCAGCTCAATTGAGGAACTTCTTGAAGCGCTTGACCGAGAGCTGAATGCCCTCGAACATGTGCTCGTGTGTGTTGTAGGCGGCCTGGACCTCATTCTTCAGCTTATCGTACATGTCCGTGTCCTTGCCGACAGAATC